CTATGTTGGCCTTAAAGAATCCTTCCTGATGAATGGTCATAAAGAGGCCACTTAACATGAAATGCTCCATACATATTCCAAATTTCACTACATCTCTTCAAGTGCTCTCATTTCCAAATTACAAGAAGAACCTTTATGATAGAAGGCATCAAGGAAGTCACAATCCATAGTTCGTTTCAAAGACTCCTAGTTAGATAGCATATCTTCAGGTACCATTCTAATCGAATTAAAATTGTCCTTTGTATCTGAAGACCAGAAAGGGGGCACTTGTACACCTGAAATTGCAACATTTCTCTCTTAAAAGACTACTACTTCACTCTTTTCCAAATTACCAAAATCCAGCAATCGAAGAATTATTCGGTTCGTCTTTGCTCTCTAATAAATTGCTGCTTTGGTCACTAGCAATGCAATATAGCTGACTTTTTTCTCAAAAAGAAATAAAAAATGAACTTAAACTATGAGAACCTCCATGGGAAAACAAAATAAATAGAATTACATTAAATGCATGCAAAACAAATAAGTGATGACTGACCAGTAATAGTCATTTCTTCCTGAAGAGTTGTACCCCCAAAAAAAGTACTACCAAAAAAATGTTTCTAAGTAAAGTCGATATATATATATATAATCTTGGTTTGATTTCGTTGGATAGGAGTTATTTTCTGTAGTTAGTTATTGGGCTCCGATTTCTTGTTGGGTTTTTATTTATATGTCGTTGTTGTTCTTTCATCCTTCCCAACGGAAGCTTGGTTTCTTACCTAAAAAAATTGAAAACTTTCAAAATGAGAACCAAACAAAGATAGGTACATCAATTACTTTCATTATATGAAAAGATAATAGTATAACAAAGGCACATTGATATTGAAAACTAGAATAGAAGTAAAAGGTTAAAAAAAAATTAACAGACCCTTAATTCAGCAACTGAAGTTCGAACCCGCTTATTAAGAATGTTGTTTTTTGCCCTGTCTTCAAGTCTCTGATTCACAACATCTGAAGAATTTCGATGAACCTGACTTCCCTTCTTCAGCAGGTTAGGCGCAGCAGGCCTTTCATTAGTTAAGATCTCATTCCGAATTTGCTTCTTCTGGACCTGGGACTCACAGTACTTGTTCAATTTGTGCCAGGATTCATCCATCCTTCTTGCTCTAACCCTGAAAAGAATATGATCATCAAAATCAGTATCCTCATTCCAGATTGTTCGGATGAAAACTTCTAAGAGGAAGAGACCTTATGGAAGGAGAGGAAGTCGAGTTTGCTAATCTGTTGAAGACAATCAATGGCTTCATGCCCTCCCAGTTTGCTGACAAGAGAATCTAAATTCTTAAGAACTTGGTAGAAATCTACATAATCTCTCGACAGTTCTCAACTCTCGTATTTATCCAAAACAAAGGTTTGACTGAAGTCATTTGGAAGAATGAAATCCTAAAACAGCTAGAGTTCCTGTGGATGCTCCTTTTTTGAGGTCCGAATACCGATGCCTAAGTTCAATGGAAGTTTCCTGTTATGATGTTTTCCTAGAGCTGTGTTATTAATTGAGGTATATTTTAGGAAACCCAGAACCTCCTTTTCGTTCATTGTGTTTATACTACTATGCCACGGTATGTTATCACATTTTTCCTTCTTTGGAGCCAGGGCCAATCATCCACCGTCCATTAGAGGATTCTTGGGACATGCTTTCCCAGGAACCAAGTTAAGAGAAATGGAAGATCTTGTGGGAAAATGCTCTCACGGCTGGAGTTGAGAGTTGAGGAAGGACAAAATAGTACTTAACAATACCTTCTTTTAAATATTTTGAATAATTTTTTCCCTCGATCCTTGAGACACCCTTCGAGATTGGTTTTTTTTTTTCTTTCTTTTTCTTTTACATTCTTTTCGATTTTGAAAATTTTCTTAATTATCATGTTCTGCAACTTCTCGTTGGTTTACCTCTCCAAGCAAGTAATTTAATTATTTTCCTTTTATCATTTATGTCACACAAGTTCCTCATAAAGTTTTCTATTTATATCCAAGAAAACATGCAACAAGGTAACAAATAAAAGGGATAACTTCATGTAATCAAACAATTAGTTGCAAGCCAACTTAACAGTCAATTCACTGACTCACCCTAATTTAAGTTTGAAAAATGTACTAATAGAATTTGTAACTATCAGGATATGAATGTTTCAAACTCGAGGAACGCAGCATCACAACATCATATAAAAGGAGAGGGAAAACAATATCCATGTCCAGTGAATATGAAAATTCAATGCCGATTAAAAAATTAACATACCTAGCCTTATTAGATGCTTCCAGGACACAAGCTCTGAACCGCTTAAGCTCCTCCACGGCCAAGGGATGCTTTAAACGAGCAAATCCAAATGAGTTGTCTTCTACATTCATCCCAAATAACATCTCGAGAACCTTTTTTAACTCTTCTGGACGAGGATACTTTTGCTCTCCCAATTTTATAGGATCCAACAATAAAAACTGAGATAATGTAGGTGGATCCCCAGTGGACGAAGCAATGCCTCGGGATGAAGTAGAACCCAAGCCAAACATCCGGTTCTCTCCTCCATCACAATAGTTTCCAGACCTATCCACACTGCCATTCGTCTGGCTTATCCTCTGTCCATTGCCGTAGCTCCCCCCAAATGCTAACTCATCTTGAATAGCTGAGTTTGTAGACTCAAACCTCACATTTCCTGCCATCACTTTAAGCTAGTTGAGCAAAAACCCAAAGAAAACGGCCTTCATGTAATTTGCAGGACTCCAGAATCCAGCTCTGGAGCAGAAAACAGCTAGAATTATCTGCAGTAACCGTGACATCGAATTAGTTCCAACCCCGTTAATTAAGTAACATCTTTGAAGTGCTAACAACGTTTTTCTCAACATAGACAACAGTATGCAGCCAATGGGAAACTTGGGCAATGTACCTAGAAAAGAAGAAAAAGAAGAAGAGGGGAAAGCGGGATGATGTTCCATTCACAATCAAAGCGGTAGCAATAGGAAATTCAATTTTAGAAAACCATAATTCTCATAAGATGACGATCAAAGTTTCCCAAACAATAATTCATCGCAAAAATTGAACCAATCAGATCAGAAGCCATCCCCGACTCAAAACTAACAAACCAAGAAAGCTCTAAGCCCTAGTTCAAGCAAAACCTCTAGGGTTTGTCAGCGAATTCGCAGACATCGAACTCGTAATCCCCCCGGAAGAAAACCGAATTATTCAATTTAGCACAGAACTCCAGGTGACAAACATTTACCTGCATTGATCGATCAAACCTACATCGATACAATACAAACAGCACCGTTCAAACACCTTGAAAAATAACATGAAAAAAGAGAGAAGGATATGATGAGGAAGAGAACAGCCGCCGTAAAGATTCCGACAGAGAGGGAGAGGTAAAGAGGAAGAAAAACATTAGGAAGGTCCCGCTGAAATTTACTCGGACGATGCAGTGATCGGCATAGCACACCGCCGCTATAATCAAGGTTCTTAATCAGGCTTCGGTCTTCGTGGGTCCCTTCAATTTTAGCGCCAAGCTTTTGACAGAGATGTACTTTTTCCTTCAAACCGGAAAAAAAAAAAAAAATCAAAACAAACGCTCTCACCTTAAACCATGAACTCCATGAAACCTCCTCCTCCTTCTCCTCGAATCTCCATCGTCGTCTCTTCCATCCAACTTCGTCGCCGCTCTTCCTCCTGCCGCCGCCCCTGTTCGCCGCGCTCCGATCGATCGATTGACGAAATGCTAATTCGATGAACAGAAGAAACGCTCCCCCTCCTCTCGGGAAGCTACCGGGTGGAGGATTTGGAGAGTGAACTGATGTGGAAATTTTTCATCTGAGACGACTGGCGCGAGCAAGATGATCAGGGTGTGGATCGATAGTGAGTGGCAAGAGGAGGATGGCGTGTATATACTCGCGTTGAATTTCTTTTTGTTTTTCTTCTAACTTACTTGGTCAAAACTGTTGACTCTGTGACATTTTAGTCAGCGCCCTTATGACATTTCATAATTATTGTATTATTTTAAAATCAATTAATCCAAAATAAATTTAAATTCTTAATTTCTTTTTATTTTTACTTTAAAAAATATTAATTTCAAATAAAATTTTAAATGAATATTTTATTTCCCAAGTCTAATTTTATATTAAATAAAAGTAAAACATTTTAATAAATTTAATAATATTTCATAAATAAAAATATAATATTCGACGTAATTTATAACAATTTAAAAGTTAATATTACATCATAGTTTTTAAGTCAATTTCTGTCTCACATTTTCATTCTCGATTTAAATATAGATTTTTGTGTTGATTATTCCCACAAGTTAAATAAACATCTCGAGTTACGAGTTACATAATACCACAGGTAAGAGAAAAGCACTTCACATGACTCCTATCCAAACCGTCCACGTGTTTATATGGAATTTTTCAGATAACACAACTAAAAGTGGAAGAGACCGAGCAACCCATTACAATAAAGTCAAAATATACGACCCCCATCGATGAAATTCCCTGTAGTGTTGGATATGAACTAACAGACCAACACTAAAAGTTCATAACAAGCAATGAAATTGTTATATATGCACGTTTAGTTTAACATTATCATGGATTTAAGTATCAACTGAAGTACAAAAAACGTCGAGCGTATCACTACACCTGTACCGACGTTCGATGTACTTCATCTGTCCATTCTTATTCACCTTCCACCGTATATTCCGAGGACGTCTACCAAAATCGTAATATATACAAACTAAAGAGGTTAATATTAACAAATCTAATTTAAAAAAAAAAAATACTTGGCTTAGAGAATCGGGGCCAATTGAAGAGAAGGATAGGATAAGTACCGTATGACTGCATGTATGGGATAAAAATACTTTTCCCCAAAAATATGAACATACATGCCACGTAAGCCTGACAGTGATGTTGAGTCAGTCATGTTCAAGTGGGTCCCGCATGCTGACGCAGCATTCCAAAACTCTTCCCTTTTTATATAAAAAGAAACTCCGTTAGAAGATGATCCCGTTTTCATATCGCGTATTAGCAGCACTACCGATAACGAACAAACTAGCTTACGGGAGGAGCACCCACCGATTCCGATCCATTTTATTCCATGGCCATGGCGACCTCGAGCTCCACCTTCATTGCTTCTTTCAACACTTCTCCTTATTTGTTTCCATGCCGGTTTAGGTTTTTGGAGCCGGAGTTCGTTGCTCATGTCCCTCACCGCGGCTTTGGGGGTGGTGCTAGGCCGATTTTCTTGCGGAAATGGTAAAGTTCGAGTATCGTGGAAGTTTGGATTTCTTATGTGCTTTTGTGTTTGGTATGAGCTGAAATGAAACTTACGTTGAATCTAAAAATCTTTGCATCTAGAACTGGTTAATTTTGGTTGATTGTCTGTTGGCCTTGCTTGCTTGCTCCAGGAGTTTATTGAATTGTTGATGGATCGATTTGCTTTATTTTGGTATTCTGTTTTATGGATGGCGTCAAAATTAGAAATGCGTCTGTTTAGTTGACTGTCCGGAGATTAAAAGCGTTGAGAATTATTGGGAGTGAGTCTCACATTGGTTAATTTAGTGGAAGGTCATGGGTTTATAAGGGAGGAATACTATCTCCACTGGTACGAGGCCTTTTGGGGAAATCCAAAGCAAAGTCATGAGAGCTTATGCTCAAAGTGGACAATATCATACCATTGTGGAAAGTCGTGATTCCTAATATGGTATCAGAGTTGTGCCCTAAACTTAGCCATGTAATAGAATCCTCAAATATCGAACAAAGAATTGTGAGCCTCGAAGGTGTAGTCAAAAGTGACTAAACTGTCGAACAAAAGGTGTCTTTGTTCGAGGGCTCCAGAGAAAGGAGTCGAGCCTCGATTAAGGGTAGGCTATTCGAGAGCTCCATAAGCCTCAGGGGGAGGCTTATAGTGTACTTTGTTCGAGGGGAGAATTGTTGAGAATTATTGGAAGTGAGTCATACATTGGTTAATTTAGTGGAAGGTCATGGGTTTATAAGTGAGTGAAGAATACTATCTCCATTGGTATGAAGCCTTTTGGGGAAGCCCAAAGCAAAGTGCTTATGCTCAAAGTGGACAATATCATACCATTGTGGAGAGTCGCGATTCCTAACAAAAAGAGTAGGTTTTGAGCTTGGGATAGAAATTATTCGCTTCTTTAGAACTTGAACATGTGATATTTTGGGACACAATGGCTTTTAATTTAGTTTACAGTAACATTCGTTTGCTCCAGGACTTGTTAAGAAGATATGTCGTGTATTGCTAGTTACATGTTTTTCTACGATTATGGAACGTTTGGTGTTGATACGTATCAGAGCAATGGGCTGAGTTTTTCTTATATTTTACGCAAGCATTTGATCGTCAATGTGGATTCTCTTTGATAATGAATTATTAGAAGCTGGCCGTTAGTTTCGTGAAGGAATGCTGGCTGATTGTCTGGGATGCTTTTATTCTTCAAAATATAATTCGGGCTCGTTCCATTTGTGCATTCTACAATCTGTTTGGATAAACGAGCATCCTACGATCTATTAATGATCTCTGTGCCACGAGTTCATTCAATTAAAGATGTGATCTTACTTATAAAGTCAAGTTCTGTTGGTTGCTCTTTGGTTTTCTTTAATAATCGTTGAATATTAAGCAACCAGTTTAGACACCTTTTGATTTTCATCTATCTCAACGATTCTCTAGCACTTCATTCTTCTAGCTCACTGAAATATGCATCTCATGTATCTGATAGCCCTCTCTTGATTAATACCACTCAATCTAACACTTATGCCCTATTTTTCTATTCCATCGATCTTATGCAGGAATATTGTGAGCGCATCATCCAATGCCTTGAATGCAGTCAGTCCAGCATCATTGGTCAGTGACGTGTTTCTTAAATCCACTATTGAAATAGTATTTCTTCTGGTATCCACAAGTCTGGACTGCTCAATATGTCTACATCATAAAGTTTATCGTTAAAGTTCTCTTGCACTTTATCTACATTTTTTCATCCCATAAACCCATTCCAGGTTTGACTCATAGTCATAATCAAAGAAATTTTTTAGATCCTTCCCCTTCAGTGTCCTCCCCATGATATTATTTCCCTAAAACCCCTCGGTTTCTTTGCAACCAACTAAAGGGACAACTTTAACAGTGTCAGATAAATAATTTTAGTTTTCCTTCCCATACAGATGACCTTAAAGAAGTTGTTCCACCAATTCAGAAATCAAACACCTTAGGTTCTCGGTCTCAAAATATATATTGCATACTAATTCATCTCATCTTTAATTGTAATTGTCAAAATATTTGAAAGATGTGTTTCTTATTTCACTTGTTATAAATGTATTGCAATCGTCAAGGCAACGGTTCCATGTTAGGCATCTCCTTCTTAGCTTTTTTGGGGGTGTTAGTGACCAAAGAGTTTTGTATTTATCTTTAGTTTCTTACTCTTAACAGTTGGATCCCAAACTCCGAGTTTTTTTTTTTCTATTCCTGGTGTTTTTCTTTGCCTTTATTTGGTTCGTACTAGTTTTTGTATAGCCATTAAATGTTATTCCATTTACATCTATGACAGCATTTAAAAAAGAAAAGAAAAGAAGTTAAGCATCTCTTTTTTACTTTTTATTTTGTCATCGATGTTCTTATTTATTATTTATTTTTTCCCCAAGCGTGTGTATGTGTATCATGTTGCTATATACTGTTTCAGTTGGCAAAAATATTTGACTTCAAATCTCAGTTTGGTCGACCATTCAACAAGTTCAATTTTACATCAAGAGTTTGTGCATGTATTTTGTTGCAAATACGTATAATCATGGACTGTTTGGATAATAAGATTTTATCGTGCAACAATTCCGTTTGTTAATCTTCACCTGCAATTATAAATCTGGATGACTTCAAAACTGTGCAATTGATGAAATATTTTTTACTCCAGGTTTTTGATGAAGATAACGACCCAATGCCCATAGTTCTCATAGATCAGGATTCAGATTCCTTTGCAACGATAGTGGAAGTCAGTTTTGGCGATCGCCTTGGAGCTCTTATTGATACGGTGACTTTTGCAGTTCCATTATCTTATGCTTTCTGGAAGTTGTGTTACAAGATTTCATGTATCTCAGTATTCTTATCCATTATATGAAGTCAATTTGAGGTCATCTTGTATAATGTAAATGCTAAAATACTGAAGTTTGAGTTGAGTTCAGGAAATAACTTTTTGGCCTGCAGGAATCTTATGTGAATTTATTTCTAGTATCCTCACTTCTTGAAGAACGCTTTGCTCTGAGTTAGAGCCAAGTCAATGCTTCCAGTTTTGTTCCTACTTTTTTTAATTGATTACTTTTATTTAAATATCATCTGGTACTGAATCATATTTTATCATCTTTTCTTGGATTTCTTGCTTGTAGATGAGAGCGTTAAAAGATTTGGGTTTGGATGTGGCCAAGGGAACTGTTAGCACAGAGGGACCAGTCAAGAAAACAAAATTTTATCTGACAAGACTGTGAGTTTTTTTATTGCTTAAAATTAGTCATTTGAGCTACTGTCTAATGCGGTTTCTAGTAGCTCCCTTGGTTATTCCAAATTTTCCACTTCACATGCTGCTTGCCTCACTTTTTCCTCATTTATATCCTATACATTTACTGTCTCGTTTCTTTATTTTGTCTTATTTTCTATGTTTTGGTGCCTGTCTCAAAGATGAAAGGAACTGTGATCCTTTGAACAATTTCAAAACAGAATTCACAAAAATTGTATGTTAACAAATGGCAATATAAGGGTGGAAGTGGAAAATATATGAATCCACATACACTATATCACCATGTTAATCTTAAAAAAAAAAACTTCTTTCTTTGCTTTCAAAATATCCCCAAAGCTTAAGCATGCTTGAACACATCGTCTTTGCTTTGCCCTGCCTTTACCTCAAGTCTTTACCAATTTGCCTTACGATCGCTATAGTTTATGGGGGAAAAGGATTGGGTAACTATATGAATCCAACGAAATTCAAGGAGATTAAAGCCCTCAAATTATATAAAATAAAATATAATTTGTCACAAATATTGATGGCCTAATAAGAAGCATGAATACAAACTAGATCTCACCTCCTCCTTTTCCTTGTCACAGTAAAATTCCCTGATTTCTTTCCTTTCAAATTTAACAAAAAATAGACAATAGAAAGTTACTAGTCAAAAGAATTTTGGTCTTCAGAATGAAGGGACGTTCATGAGCAAGCTGCAGGAGAAGTCCCAGTCTTTAATTGAAAGTTTAAGTAGAAGAAAATTATGTTTAATGAGGCAGAGGCATAAAGTAGATAAGAAGATGATGCTGGTTCATTTCGGAAAGATCGTATAATGTCCTGTCTCCTGGTCTACACCCAAAACTCATGCATCAGCTATTTTGCCAGGATGTAGGCATGGCTTCTGCCCACTTCTGATATGTAATTGAGAGTGTAGCCCCACATTCAGATTCTTAGTTCTGGTGTGTGTCAGCATTCTGATAGCTTGTTACGTCCTGTTAATTGAGTATTTATTATTGGACTTTAATATTAGACCACATATGTGCTGTGCTATCTTGCACTACCTGCTCTTATATAACACATATTCTGATGTTTGTAATTGTAGAGACTCTGGCCGGAAGGTAGAAGATCCTGATTTGTTGGAGAGCATTCGTTTAACCATCATCAACAACCTTTTGAAGTACCACCCTGTATGCATACTAAATAACTCCAACATACTAATGACTATCTTAATGTCTTGGATCTGACGTAGATCTCTTCCTTAACTTTCTGAATTGTTTCTTTTATTTTCTTTATCTTAGCTTTCTAGTTTCTTGGTAGGAATCTAGTCAACAGCTTGCAATGGGTGAGGCTTTTGGAATTCAACCTCCAGAGAAAAAGGTATAGCTTCCTCGATGCTCACAATCTCTTTTATGGATAAATAATTGTATTTAAAGAAAATAAAACCATACATCCAATCCAAGGAGTCTTTTGTATCTTCCTTTAGATGAGGTTTTCTCCTCTTTTTTTTAATTTTATTTTAATAATTTCATATTATTATTATTTTAACAAGAAATAACTTCTCATTATATTAATGAAAACGAATAAAAGTTCAAGACGTACAAACTCTCGAAAGGTTTAGGTTTTAAATAATTGGATTTAATTTGATATTGCAGAAGTATGAGTATCTTTTATAAACTTTGTTTACATAAATGTGGCTTTGATTATGTTTGTATGCACAATAGTAATATTGAAATTTTGTCTACTTGTGGGCTTTGATTGAACACTGATTACGGCCATTCAAGAGGCCTGGTGCCTCCCCCCGACGAAAGCCTTCCTTAGCTTACATGACATTATTTTGTACTTCCCCTCTTTAAAGATATAATCTGTTTTTACTAGAAAATGACTTATTTGTTCCTACCTCCCCAATATTTACACATGTAATGCTACTTCATGATCCCCTTGCCATTTCGTTTGTGGGCGAAAGGAATCGAACGTTCTGCATTGTTTCTATAATTCCTCGAGTTAAATTGGCCATCATTGTCTTGGACTGAAATTCTCTTCCCTTCAAATTGTTCTCAGTAATCTCATTCATTAGTCAGTTGCAAGTTGTTCAAGATCTTGAGTGTAATTTTTGGTTCATCAGACTCCGGGGAATCCAATTAAAGTTTTTTTAATGCTAACGAGATTCGTATTCATGAAAGTAATCTCGATTTCTATTTTGCTTCGTGCAGCTTGATATTGATATTGCAACTCATGTTCACGTGAGAGCCGATGGACCTAAAAGGAGGTTTGCTTTACTTGATTTAAAACAACTTGGTGCAATTTTGTTGTGAAACTTTTATTGCTTTTCATCTCTAACTAATTGCCATTAGAGTACAACTCTGTAATGTAATTATAAAATTGATTGAGTTAATTGTTAAATCATAATCTAGTTTTTATTTTCGATTTATAGCCTACTTTGTTTGGAGACAGCAGACCGACCTGGATTGCTGGTGGAAGTTATAAAAATACTCGCTGATATCAACATTGAAGTTGAATCGGCAGAGATAGATACGGAAGTAAAGCCTCCCTTCCCATCTCTCTCTCTCTCTCTCTCTCTCTCTCTCTCTCTCTCTCTGACTTGTCATGACAAAATTTCAACTCTGATCTCTAGGGGTTGGTCGCCAAGGACAAGTTTCATGTCAGTTATGGGGGAGCTGCATTAAATAGTTCCTTATCTCAGGTAAATAACCTACATGATACATGAAATTCTGTGTGTTTGGGCATATGTTGGGGGTAGTGGTTTTAAATGTAATATAATATTCTTGTATTAAGCACCTTTGGAAACGAAATGAAGTGTTTTAAATGCTCAAACATGCTTATTTGTTGATTAACGCCCATCTGTTTAAGCATTGGTGATCCTGCCTAGTATCTTGGGACTAAAATGGTTTATACCTTAAACTTCGACACCTCTTGTCCTGAGTGATTTCTCGTATGTGTAAAGACGGGTAGAGCGTCTCATCTCTTTCCTCAGGGGCCAAAAAAAATACACATTTTGAAAGTCTAAGACAAACAAAAGAAACCTTAAAGTTCATGAACTCAATTGTGACAAGAAAAAGAAAAATCTATGGACAAACCTGAATTTGGAGGAATGAACTTTTAGCTTATCGAATCGTCGATTACGCTGTTTATGTTCAACGTGTTTTAAACGTGCAGGTATTAGTAAATTGTCTACGTTACTACCTGCGGAGGCCCGAGACAGACGTAGATAGTTATTAAAATCTTGGGGAACATCGTCTCATCTCAATGTAAGGTTTGAAACTGTTTGTGAGCTCATACAAGTTCGATCGATCTGGGGGCCGAGGACCCTTTATTCGTGAGCTCTCTCGTCATTTCTAAAACTTTATATTCTCAGATGCACTTGCTTTGGTTAGCTGCTGAATAACTCCGAAGCTGTTCATCCAAAGACCATGTCTTGCCTGTGTAGAGTTCAGTTATTGTCTCACAACAAATGCTATCTTCCACGTCTGTTGGTATCTGTCCAAGACTCATCGTTGTTCTCACATACCAAATTAAAAAGGGATTTGAAGAATAAATTTGGTTATTTTCAAGTATTTAGTACTCAATTAGAAGCTTCTTAGAAGAAAATGCCTTGACACAGTTGTAAAATCTCCCTAAAACTGTCCACTTTAGAAGCACTTTTTTTTTTTAGAAATTTCTGCCTAATTTACTTAATGTTATTATGACTTTTTTTTTTCTTTCTTTCTTTTTAATTTTTTCAATAACCATGAAAAGTAGTTTTTAATTTTTTTTTTTTTTTTTTCCTGTTGGAGGATGAAAGTCTCACGTCGCCTAATTCAGGGAATAATCAAGGGTTTATAATTAAAGAATACTCTCTCCATTGGTTTGAGGCCTTCTGGAGAAGCCCAAAGTAAAATCATGAGAGCTTATGCTTAAAGTGGACAATATCATATTATTGTGGAGAGTCGTGTTCATTTAACATGGTATCAGAGCCATGCCCTAAATTTAGTCGTGCCAATAGATTGGTAAATTCTCAAATGTCGAACAAAGGATTTCAGAAGAAAGGAAGTCAAGCCTCCTCGAAGGCAGTAAAAAATGGAAGTCAAGCCTCCTCAAAGGAAGCCTCCTCAAAGGCAGTAAAAAATGACTAAGTGTCGAACAAAGGATTTCTGAAGAAAATGAGTCAAGTTTCCTTAAATCCTTAAATGGAAGTCAAGCCTCCTCAAAGGAAGCCTCCTCAAAGGCAGTAAAAAATGACTAAGTGTCGAACAAAGGATTTCTGAAGAAAATGAGTCAAGTTTCCTCGAAGGAAGTCAAGCCTCCTCGAAGGCAGTAAAAAATGACTAAGTGTCGAACAAAGGATTTCGGAAGAAAATGAGTCAAGTCTCCTCGAAAACAGTAAAAAATGACTAAGTGTCGAACAAAGGATTTCTGAAGAAAATGAGTCAAGTCTCCTTGAAGGCAGTAAAAAATGACTAAGTTTCGAACAAAGGATTTTTGAAGAAAAGGAGTCAAGTCTCTTCGAAGGCAGTAAAAAATGACTAAGACTCCAAAGGAGTCGAACCTCGATTAAGGGAAGCGTATTTTGTTCGAGGGGAGATGTTGGATGATAAAAGTCCCACATCGACTAATTTAGGGAATGATCATGAGTTTATAATCAAGAATACTCTCTCTATTGGTTTTAAGCCTTTTGAGGAAGCATAGAGGACGATTTTAGGCATTTTGGAGAAGTCCAAAGTAAAGTCATGAGAGCTGCTCAAAGTGTGGGAAGCTTAAATGCCGGTTTTAGGCCTTTTGGAGAAGTCTAAAGACCTTTTGCCCAAAGTAAAGTGATGACAGCTGCCCAAAGTGGATAATATCACAGGGGAGAGGCCTTTTGAGCAGCTCAAAGTAAAGTTATGACAACTGTGGGGATAATATCATAGTGGAGAGTCTGTTTATTTTTACTATTTTTATAATAAAAGTAAAAATACTATTTAACTATTTTTAAATGAGTAATAAAAATAGAGGTAGACAACAAAATATATATATATAAAAAATACTTTGATTCAACCATTTATGATATATATGTCTTTATATTTAAATAATTTTTATGTACTTAAAAATAACTATTTTTCAAATAAAATTATAACAAATGGTCTAAATTAATTTATATTTGCCTTATTATTATTATTATTATTATTATTTTACCAGTTACTAATTACTCAACACGAACAAGATTAGACCGAACCGACCAACCCGAACTGAACCGGCGCTCTATACGTCAGCACCACGCTGTTAACCGCTAGGTATTTAACAGGAAGAACTCTTCAATTTGCAAGAACAGCGAGGGAAAAATGAGGGGCTTAGGAAGTTTGATTGTGCGAGCTCGAAGAATTTCACCACTGGGTTCTCACGGAGTTGGGAAGATTCGATTCTTCTCAGCCGCAACAACTTCTTCTATATTCGGCGGAAACGAAGCTGCTTCGTGTTCTGTATCGTCAAGAACTTGCTTCGATCCTCTCTTGCGTTCATGGAGATGGAGCCAATTTGGAGGTGCGTGAGCTTTGACGAACCATCATTGGAATCAGCTGTATTTGTTTTTGAATAATCTGTCGTATTTTGTTGCATTCAGGACAAAAAAGAACAATGTTCATTGAAACTCAGTCAACACCCAATCCTTCATCTCTCATGTTCTATCCTGGAAAGCCTGTTATGGAAGTCGGGAGTGCTGATTTTCCTAATGCGCGTTCTGCTATGAACTCCCCACTAGCAAAGGCTCTTTATGGTGTTGACGGTACATATTCTGAACTTATGATATCTTTTTAGGTTTCTGTTGGATTTTCAATTTGGAATACCCGCTTCCTTTTATCTGAATTTTAAAGAGTTTAAGATGTATGCTTGCATTTTAGAGGTCTGGAATTATATCGACATTGAACTGAGACATGGAACATTGAACTGAGAGTAGGAAAGTTGTGAGGCATAGTAAATAAGTGCTAGTTTGAAGTTTAATTGATATATGACTTGGTGTTGGTTTACAAGTGTTCTTACTGGTTTTACTGATTCCTGGCGTGGGGCGTTCTTGATTGCTTGTGCAGGTGTTATCCGAGTCTTCTTTGGATCAGATTTTGTTACTGTAACAAAGTCAAATGAGGCTTCGTGGGATTTCCTTAAGCCTGAAATTTTTGCTTCAATCATGGACTTCTATTCTTCTGGACAACCACTATTTCTAGACGCTAATACTGCTGCTGCCATGGATACAGCCATCAACGAAGTATGTCTTCTAACTGCAAATTAATCCACTTTCTTGTTAGAGTTTTACTCATTAAAAAACAAGTTAATTTTTTAGATCACATGGTGTTCTCTTCTCGTCGAACTTTTACATATTGGTTAGAAATAAGAAAGTAGAAAACTCATTTACGTTTTTCTCTCTCTCGGGATATTTATGATAATTTTATATTAGGTTATGTTTTGATCACAAATTATGCAATTCTATATGGTTCTCTTTCTTGCTTTCGATACTCGACATGATATAATACTAGGTCAAATGTGAGTTCCTTGGTGAAATGAAACCACACTAATTGATATACATAGATTTTATCTTCCTTAAGTGCTGATATAGAACTATGAACATTTAATGTCATCATACATCGGATTCAAAGTACTTGAGGCTCATGGTATTAATAGAGTAATGTGGTGCCTTGCAGTTCCATTTCTACTTTTTTGGATACAACTTTGGCTAAGAACTTGTTTTCTGATCTTCATATTGGTCATTTTGATGGACATTCGATTTTCTCTTAAGTCAAATTAGTTACATTTTTTCTGTCCTGTCGTTAAGAAACGGGTTTTTCCTTTAATATAAAGTGAGGGATATACAAGCTACTGTGCCACTTGTGGAGACCTAGAGAACTGAAAAGGAATTACACAAAGATACTGTAATTGTACTTTTTGTTTTCAATCACTGAAGTTCTCTTGTTAGCTGTTATTAAAATTAGTACTTCTACTTAAAGAAGTTGAGTTAAGCCCAGCGCTAGCCGCTATTGTCCTCTTTAGGCTTTCCCTTTCGGGCTTCCCAACAAGGTTTTTAAAACTCTTCTGCTAGGGTGAGGTTTCCACACCCTTAAGGGTGTTTCGTTTTCCCCCCCAACCGATGTGGGATCTTACAAGTTACTTACCTAAAAGATGAGTATATCAATGTCTTTCTATTATATGTCAAAATTTATTTGTAATATTTCAATTTGAGGTTTGACTTTGTGGTCGTTGTTTTCTGTGCTGCGGAGTATTGAATCTTTCAAAGTTATATTTGTCTTGGAATCTGAAACATCATAAATTTTTATTATTCTAGTAGTTGGAAACAGCTTGATTCTTAATAGATCTGTCCACTTGTGCCTTTATTTAGGATGATTCTGAAACTGTTGCTATGATTAAAGAGCTGCTTGAGACTCGTATTCGACCAACAGTGCAAGATGATGGTGGAGATATTGAATACAGGGGATATAATGAGTAGGTTTTTCAGTTACAGGCGTTCCGTAAAGCATTAGGAGTTGTATGCATGATTGCTTTTATATGGTTATGTATTGAATTTTCCATTTCTATCTTCTTCAGAGAAACTGGAATTGTCAAATTGAGAATGCAAGGAGCATGCAGTGGCTGCCCAAGCTCATCCGTCACTCTAAAATCTGGCATTGAAAATATGTTGATGCATTATGTACCAGAGGTGAGAGTTATGTAATCTTTGTATTTGTAAGCTCATGTTCAATGAGAAGCATATCCAATATTCCACTTGGACATCTAGGTAGGTCCTCCATGCATATTGCTTTTGTTCCCTTCTTTTACATGATACCCGACCCGAGGTGTCCTACAGCCATATTTCTTAATTTAGTTGCACGATGTTAGTATTGAGCTTGAATACACACTGACACCACCAGCTGGAATGGAAGGACTTTTTGTTTTTTTTAGATAATAGGAATGGCAGGACATTGCACTATATAATTGAGATTGAATCTAAGTTTTATGACTAGGAACAGTTGGTTTTCCAACTTCTCACTGAATCTTGCTATAAGCAAGTGGCTAGCTACCGTTCACGTTTTACTGAAAATAATCATATGAAATGCAACATGCTCGATGGATAACAAGAATGCATCGACGAACACCGCATGTTTGATAAGACGGAAGGCAATGTACCCTAGAGAGCCAACGTAGAAAATCACTCACTTCAAAGGGAGAAAATTGAAATAGAATAATGTTACACAGCTGCTTAGTTCTAGTATATAGGTTCTGTCTTCCTCTTTTGTTTCTATGCTTCTCAGATCCATAAATATCTTTTTTTCTTTTTTTGGAATATCTATGATTTGAATGTCTATTCTCAATTTTTAGGTGAAGGGCGTGGAACAAGAATTTGACGTCGAGGAAGAGGATGTAAAGTCAACCAGCCAGATGGAGTAAAAGATGAGTTGGTCTATTTATTCTATGTTATGTTGAGCCACAACACTGATCTTGAGGGTGAGCCCTTACGAGTTGGTTGTTTCATTCTTTGTTAGATTGAACTGCAACACTGATCTTGAGGGGTGACCATACGGGTACTTGTTATTATGCAGAGAATAAAAAGGGCGTCGTGGTTGAATTATTTCATGGTTTATAGAGTTGTTCCTAGCTAAGAAAAGAAGTCTGTGGAACTGGGATTCCATGGACTTACCATATTTTGGACATGACGAACATATATGGTAAACATAAGAGAGATTTGATTGTTCATTCAATAATAACATTTTTGTTCTATATCCTGGAATGCTGAGACGACTTCGAAAATTGCTGGTAATATTGCCTTCTTATAAGGTCAACCAGAGCATAGCTGAGTGATAATGTAACAGCCCAAGCCTACCGCCTGGAGATATTGTCCTCTTTGGGCTTTCCCTCTCGGACTTCTCCTTAAGGTTTTTGCAACGCGTCTGTTAAGAAGAGGTTTATACACTCTTATAAATAATGCTTCGTTCCCCTCTCTAACCGATGTAGATCTCATAATCCACTTCCTTCGGGTCCAGCGTTTTCGCTGGCACTCATTCCCTTCTCCAATCAATGTGGGACTGCCTAATCCACCCCAGCGGGGCCCAACGTCCTTGCTGGCACACTGACTCATGTCCACCCCCTCCTCACTGGTATATTACCCGGTGTCTAGCTCTGATATCATTTGTAACAGCCCAAGCCCACTGCTAGCAGATATTGTCCTCTTTGAGTTTTTCCCTTCAGAGTTCTCCTCAAGTTTTTTAAAACGCCTCTACTAGGGAGAGATTTCCACACCTTTGTAAATAATGTTTCGTTCCCCTCTCCAACCGATATAGGATCTCACATATAAAGTCACCAATTGCCATCTTAAATGTATCTATGTGTAGTAGAATGAAGCCATTTTTCTCTAGGTTGAGATTTTCATTTTCTGTAAAATTTAGTTGGGAAGCTTGACAACTCTGTGTTTAATGCATAGTTTTATTGCTAAGTTGCTTAATCTTTTTGACTATGAATGTTGGAAAGCATGGATGTTATTGTTACTTCATATCTGCATGTAATTTCCTAAAGTTCATTGGTTGATCTGTGATTATGGCTTTTAAATATTCAAATGCCCCCTTTACTCAATTATTTTGTTGAGTGTGACATCTTTAAGGTAAGTATTGCATGCTGCATCAACCAACCAGCCTGCTTTCCTAGGCTCCGGATCGACGAGGCAATTCATGTGAGGTTGGGCTAAGCATGCTGAAAGAACTTTCTATTTGGTACGTTTTTTCCTTCCCTTCTTCTTCCCCTTTATTCGTGAATAATCGGACTCACTTGATTGAACTACATTTAGTGGTAAAATATTAAATCTTAGGTAGGTAGTCAACGTAGCTTGGAAGTTTCGTATGCTTTTTCCTTCCCTTATTCGTGAATATTCGGGCTCACTCGATTTCACAACGTTTAGTTATAAAATATTTGATTAAACATTTGATTCATGGATCAACTAGACATAAACATGTAAGGTTAAGATTGAATTTTACGCCCAATAGACCAACTTTTTCAACATTTCAAAGATTCTAAAAATTTAGAGATTTATTAGAATCTTAACCAAATAGACACAAAATCGAATTTTATAAATTAACCTAATTTTTATATATGGTTTCTTGGTTGGATACATAGGAATGGATGGCAATTGGGCAATTCTTAGTATGTCCACTTTCAACTTATTTAATTGTTATTATTATTTGGAAATACCTTTTAAGCAAGTAAATTACATTGTATATTAATCTGTGATTCATTATTATTTATTTATTATCATTTTTATATGTTTATTTAATTGTTCTTTATATTTTAAATATAAGCTACATTAATTGTATAACTTAAATTGAATTTTGTAAACATTTATAAAAAAAAAATTATAATAACAAAACATATAAACTCAAAATTTACCCGCTTAATTTTCAAAAACTAAAATTAAAAATTAAAATATTTTCAAATAGAGTCCCCTAGTATTATTTTTGAAATTTTGATTTTGTGTCTAATTAACCTAAATTTTTTAATTTTATAACTAATAAATTAATTAATTTTGAATTTTATAACTAATAAATAAATCATTTTCTAATTTTTTTAAAAAATAAAAGAATTACTAGATATTTTTTAAAAAAATCAATGATCATATATACACAAATTTAGAAGTTTATGGCGGGAACTTATTTAATTGTATATAAACTCGTGTTCTTCCAAACATTTACTTTTGAGTCCGTCACGGGCTAAAATTGACACAACCTATAAAGTCCGGGTTTTTATTATTAAAATAATAATAATAATAATACATTCCATTATTAATATAAAAGGTAAAGGATGGAAGTGAGCATGTACGGTACGTTACTAGGAGGCAGTGGATATGAGGGCATGCTTCATACTTTATTTTGATGCCTTTTCTGTAATAAATATTGCATTCCACTCGCAACCAATGGAACGCCACACGCCTTCCGCACGCCACCTTGTGCGCGCGCGCGGCCTGCCCTCCGCCACGTCACACGTACATTGACCAACTTCCTATATTTTAGTTTCTTTTATATATATATTTTATTATTATTATTATTATTTTTTAATGTTGGCTAAATTATAGAATGAATTGATTAATTTAATTAATTCAAAGGTTGGGATGGATAGAAGATTGGGTTTAGTTTGTGGGGTTGACATTTTTTTAGTTGGGTCAACCTAATGAATCCTATCCGATATCAGTGATGTGCTGTGACTGGTAAATGTGATTTTAGTTATTAATACAAGTTGTACTACGAATAATAATATATTTTTTAAATAATTAAAAAAATAACCTAATCCAACTTGGGTTGTTTTGTAAACTTTGTTTGGGTGGTTCATTCATCAATCCAGAATTTCGGTTGGTCCAAAAAAAACTTCAAAAAATTCCAGCGTGGACACACGTTGCCACGTATGCATATTACATCAGCAGCGCCACCCCTCTTTGCTCTTGCTCCATTCTTCTCCCTCTTTATATTTAGTTTTTGTCCTCAAATTTATTTATTCATTTGTTTCCCTTCCCCTGAAAACTTGGGGATCTGTTGGTTTTGGCGGTTTTTTACACACAACATTACAGAAACGAATAGCCTGCTATAGATATCTATATGTATTGATTTGTGTTGGTTGATACTCAGACGGCAAGATTTTTGGGTTCGAAGATGCATCTGGCGGCGTGGAAATGTGGGTTTGGAGAGCTGAGGCCTTTGGTTCACTTGTTGTTGCCTTTATGCGTCCATTGGATTGCTGAAGAAATGACTGTTTCTGTTCTTGTTGATGTTATCACTAATGCTCTTTGTCCTGGAAACCCCACTTGCCCTCAAGCTATTTACTTCAATGGAACTGAGCAAACGGTGAATTTTCCATCTCATTTGATTCCTGCCTGTTGAATTTCTCTGTTTATGCTTCTCTGTTCTTGTTTATGGTGTTTTTAATTTGTTTGATTTGGTAATATGCTTACTTCTAATGTTTCTAGTTTGTTTTAAGTGATCGTTTTGGTAACTTGTGCTGATTTTGAGGGTATGTTGACTTTTTTAGTATTTTAAATGTCCCTCGAAAACATTTGGAAATTCTTTCGAAATAGAGAAAATTAGAGCTCCATCGTAGTTTGAACCATTGCTTTAGGGCAACATTTTCATGGGTATCGATGATGTAACAACCCAAGCCTATCACTAGCAAATATTGTTTACTTATAGCCCGTTACGTATCGTCGTCAGTCTCACGGTTTAAAAACGCATCTCCTAGAGAGAGGTTTTCACACCCTTATAATGAATGTTTCTGGTAGAACGAAACATTCTTTATAAAGGAACGAGTGCCAGCGAGGACGCTGTGTCCTGTAGGGAGGTGGAAACATTCTTTATAAGGGTATGGAAACTTGTCCCTAGCAGACGCGTTTTAAAAACCTTGAGGAGAAACTCGAAAGGGAAAGCCCAAAGAGGACAATACCTACTAGCGGTGGGTTTGGGTTGTTACAAATGGTATCAGAGCTAGACACCGGGCGATGTGCCAACGAGTAGTCTGAGCCCTGAAGGGGGAGAGACGAAGGGGTGTGCTAGCAAGGACACCGGGCCTCGAAGGGGGTGGATTGCGGGGTCCACATCGATTGGAGAAGGGAACGAGTGTCAGCGAGGATGCTGTGCCCTGAAGGGAGGTGGATTGTGAGATCCCACATCGGTTGGGGAGAAGAACGAAACATTCTTTATAAAGGTGTGAAAACCTCCCCCTAGCAGACGCGTTTTAAAAACCTTAAGGGGAAGCCCGAAAGGGAAAACCCAAAGAGGACAATACCTGCTAGCGGTGAGTTTTGGTTGTTACAAATGGTATCAGAGCTAGACACCGGGCGATGTGCCACCAAGGAGTTTGAGCCTTGAAGGGGGGTGGACACGAGGCGTTGTGCAAGCAAGGACGCTGGGCCTCGAAGGGTGTGGATTGGGGGGTTCCACATCGATTGGAGAAGAGAACAAGTGTCAGCGAGGACGCTAGGCCCCAAAGGGGGATGGATTGTGAGATCCCACATCGGTTGAGGAGTAGAACGAAACATTCTTTATAAGGGAACGAGTGTCAGCGAGGACGCTGGGCCCTGAAGAGAGGTGGATTGTGAGATCCCACATCAATTGAGGGAGGAGAACAAAACATTCTTTATAAGGGTGTGGAAACCTCTCCATAGCATACGCGTTTTAAAAACCTTGAAGGGAAGCTCAACAGGGAAAGCCCAAAGAAAACAATACCGGCTAACGGTGAGCTTTGGCATAGAACTGACAACGAGGGTAACAAAAATGACGTTCTTAGCTTTCTCTTTTGAATTACAGGTCGTTGGAATCTTCAAAATGGTAGTTCTTCCACTGCTCGGTCAGCTTGCGGACGAGTATGGTCGAAAACCTTTACTACTACTAACAATATCAACAAGCATATTTCCTTTTGGTATGTTTCTATTTCCATATCCAATATGAAAACCAGATGTTCTTAATTTTTCCTTCCAAATTTTGAAGTTTTGTTATGCATCTTTGTCTCAGGCGTTCTTGTTTGGGATCAATCCAAGGCTTATATATATGCTTACTATGTGCTTCGTACAATAGCAAAGATACTGAGTCAAGGCAGCATATTCTTCATTTCTGTTGCATATGCCGTAAGGATAACTTCTTATATTTTGTTTATGGCATTCTTTGATAGCATTATCATTATTAGTTTTGTGTTGGATAATGGAATACAACGTGCTAACATAAGCATAGCTCAATGGTTATGACGATGACTCGTCCTTTTGATGTTAGGTTACCCCATTTAGCTCACTTTGAGAAACAAAAACCGAGTTTTTGGAATCTATTCTTTGAATTTACGATGTTTAGAAAGGATTTGTAGTAAACAAGCTCAAATTTTTGTTTGCACTGCAATCAATTATTGTGAGATCCCATATCGATTGTGGATTGTGAGATCCCACAACGGTTGGAGAGGGGAACGAAACATTGTTTATAAGGGTGTGGAAACCTCTTCCTAGCAGACATGCTTTCGAACTGTTACAAATCCTTTCTAAAGAATATCTATTAGGGGTGGGCTTGGACTGTTACAAATGGTATCAGAGCTAGTCACTAGACGGTGTGTCGAAGTAGGATTAGACCCTCTCCATAGAAGACGCGTTTTAAAAATCTTGAGGGGAAGTTTGAAAGGGAAAGCCTAAAGAGGACAATATCTGTTAATGGTGGTCTTGGGCTGTTACTAATGGTATCAGAGCTAGTCACCGCACAGTACTAGACACTGGTCGAAATAGGGCTATACCCTCTCCATAGAAGACGTGTTTTAAAAACCTTGAGGGGAAACCTGGAAGGGAAAGTCCAAAAAAGACAATATCTACTAGCAGTGGGTTTTGGCTATTATAAACAGTATCAAAGCCAGTCACGGGTCGAAATAGGGCTATACCCTCTCCATAGAAGACGCGTTTTAAAAACCATGAGGGAAAACCCGAAAGGGAAAATCCCTAGAGGACAATATCTGCTAGCAGTGGGCTTGGGATATTACAATTATGGTCGTAACTTCATGTTTTGAGGGAAAGTTTTTGCAGTCTTTTTAAGCTTTTCCAACTTGTAGGCGGATCTTGTACATGAAAGTAGGAGAGCTGCAGTATTTGGTTGGATCACTGGCCTTTGTTCCGCTTCCCATGTCGTCGGAAACTTGCTAGCACGGTTTCTACCCGAAAAGTACATTTTCTTGGTACAAATCTCCCCTCTCTAGCATCATAGATTTAACACATAATTTCATGTTCCATTTATCACATCAAGAATTCACTTCTCCGTTTCAGGTCTCAATCGTTCTGTTGATCTTTTGTCCCATCTATATGTATTTCTTCTTGGACGAGACCGTACAACGAGTACCAAAGAGCGATGGAGAACCTGGCTGCTTATCAAAGACGGTCGACGTTCTTAATAGACGATTCGGAACAATGAGAGATGCAGCTGGAATAGTCCTTGACAAGTATGTTCTTTCTAGCTTTTATGTTTTTCTGTCATGTTTGCAAAGTGTGTCATGTTGAAGAGCTCCATCTTGTTTTGCAGTCCAACACTTAGGAGTATAACTTATGTTTCTTTCTTCCTTAAGTTGGGAATGACTGGCATCACTAGTGTTCTAATGGTATGTTTTGATGAAGATATTTTAATCTTTTTATATGATATCATTAACTGATAATTTAGGAGTTTTGTAGTTCTATTTGAAGGCGGTTTTTGGCTTTGATAAAAACCAAAACTCGGAAATCTTGATGCTCGTCGGATTCGGCTCGATTTTCACTCAGGTAAATTCATTTCTAATAAGAACGGAAAAAACAGTCTTGTTCGGTAACAGTTTAAGTCCACTGCTATCAGATATTGTCCTCTTTAGGCTTTCCCTTTCGGGCTTCCTTTCAAGATTTTTAAAACGTGTCTGCTAAAGAAAGGTTTTCACGCCCTTATAAACAATGTTTCGTTCTCCTCCCCAATCGACGTGGGATCTCACAATCCACCCTCCTTCAGTGCCCAGCGTCCTTGCTGACACTCGTTCCGTTCTTTAATCGATGTGGGACCCCTCAATCCACTTCCCTTCGGGGCCCAACGTCCTTGCTAGCACACCGCCTCGTCCACCCTCCTTCTAGGCCCAACGTCCTTGCTGGCACACCGCCTCGTGCCCACCCTCCTTCGAGGCCCAGCGACCTTGCTGGCACACCGCCTTGTGTCCACCCTCCTTCGGGGCCCAACGTCCTTACTAACACACCGCCTTGTGTCCACCCCCCTTCGGAGCCAAGCGTCCTTGCTGGCACACCGCCTTGTGTCCACTCCCCTTCGAGGCCCAGCGTCCTTGTTGGCACACCACCTCGTGTCCACCCTCCTTCGAGGCCCAGCGTCCTTGCTAGCACACCGCCTTGTGTCCACCCCCCTTCGAGACCCAGCATCCTTGCTAGCACACCGACTCGTGTCTACCCCCTTCGGGGCTCACCCTTCTCACTGGCACATTGCCTAGTGTCTAGCTCTGCCCAAGCTCACCGCTAACAAATATTATCCTCTTTGGACTTTCCCTCAAGATTTTTAAAACACGTATGCCAAAGAGAGGTTTCCACACCCTTATAAACAATGCTCCCTTCTCCTCCCCCACCAACGTAGGATCTCACAACAACAAACACAAATTGCATCAATCTCCAACTTTCCATGGATTTCTTCCACACCGTTAGCGAAAATCGTCATCCTCATATCAATTAGATTACACACTTCAATACTCATTGAAAGAAAACTGTTCAAATCCTCTTTCAGATGTTGGTGCTACCACTTATAAATCCACTGATAGGCGAGGAAGCTATATTATGCTGGGCAATACTTGCATCAGTAGCTTATGTGAGTCATTTCATCTTACATTTATGACCTCCCCTTTATTAACTCCATCAAAAACAGAGTCCTAAAGGCTTCTTCTTTTGTTTTGGCTATACAGGCCTTGTTCTATGGCTTGGCATGGGCAGCATGGGTATGAACTTCAAAAACTCAAACAAATTACTAAAAATTTTCTTCAACTTTAGCAGTTTGATCTGTTTTTGAGTCTTTTAATCTCATAAGACATGTTTTTGTCCTCTGTCAGGTAGCATACTTAGCTGCCTCATTTAAAGTCATATATGTCTTAGCAAGGCCTGCAGTAAGTGTCCAAGAACAAATAAGATGAACTCTTATAATCATAGTTTTCTAATCATTCCCAAATCATTTACAGATTTACGCAATTGTCTCGAAAGCTTCGAGCTCGAGCAATCAGGTTGGCATAGCTGTTGTTTTATTGCTATCGAAAAAATTATTAAGGTCCCATTTGATAACGTTTTTTTATCAACGACAGGGGAAGGCTCAAGGATTTGTTGCTGGTGTGGAGTCAATAGCAAGCTTATTGTCACCACTTGTTATGAGTCCCTTGACCTGTGAGTGACTTTGGTTCATTGCTTCTTCTCCTTTTACTGCTTGTTGGAGAACTGATCATGTTCATGTTTGATTATTTCAGCATGGTTCATTTCTAGTGATGCCCCTTTTGATTGTAAAGGCTTTAGCATTGTCTGTGCCTCCATATGCTTGGTAAAACGTCTCTTTCCCTGTCGTTAGTGTTCAGGTTGCTCGGGTTGTTCAGGTTGTTTGGGTTATTAGTTTATTTGAGTTATGTTGAGGTCAAGTAAATCAACTTTTTAAGGGTTTTTTTAAAATTTATGAACTGTGATATTCCACATTGGTTGGAGAGGAGAACGAAACACCATTTACAAGGGTGTGAAAACCTTTCCCTAACAAACGTGTTTTTAAGCCTTGAGGGGAAGCTGGAAAGGGAAAGCCCAAAGAGGACAATATGTGCTAGCAGTGGGCTTGAGCCGTTACATGAACTTATAAGACATGGACGTCTATTGAAAGGATGGTTCAGACCAGACTTATACTCAACGTATCAAACCAATGGGTTGTAAACGTGTTCGAATTGAGTTAAGTTTAAGCAAATGAGTGTTTTAAGGATTGATTTACGAGTTCTTTTTAAATCACGGTGTAAATCTCGTTTTGGTCCCTGAACTTTTAAAATTTCTATTTTAGTCCTTCAACTTTTTAAAAACGACAGTTTTAGCATCTACTCTCATTGAGTTAAACCAAACCAACCTGAGTATTTACGAGTTTCGTGTTGGGACAGGTGATTTCTTTATGGCATGGATGTTGCCTGCTGAAAGGACATGAAAGCAAGGAGGAGGAGGATGACCTTGAGACACCATTTTTGAACTAAAGCTTAAATGTTGAATTTTAAATTGTAACAACCTAAAATAATGATAATATGTATTTTGTATTTATTTGTTGTGTGTTTGATTAAAAAAAAAAAAATCGAAGCAGCTGCGTCAAGCAGCTGCTGTAAAGGGGATGAGGGGTGGCGGACGCGTAGGCTGGAGGCGTGGGATTGATGAGTGGATTATTAGAGGATGTGGAAGCGTATTAGGGCCTTGATTAGGTTTTAAAAAGAAAAAAAACGAAGAATAGTGATTAGCGAAAAACCCATAAAACAGATGAGGAAATTTTTGAGAATTCGAGTTTTGGTTGCTTAAAATTGGACATCAATCGTGGGTAAAGAAAGAGGGGTTGTTGCTGAGGAATTCTTTGAGGAAGGGGATACGGCCACGAGCTGAATCGGACGGTGATTCGAAGGTAACGAAAAAAAACCATATCACCGAACCTTTAAATCTCAATATCTTGATTCATACTGCATAATAAGTTATGAAATAAGGCTTGTTAGAACCGTAGTTAGAAGATCTATAAAGTTGTAGAAGAAATCAGAACGAAATTCGAGTTGTAGAGATTAAATTTTTGCTTCGGGACATAACGGGTATTAAAGGAAAAAGATTGGGAAAAATTGCAGGGAGGAGAGGTTGAAGACGAGCGCGTGAAGGACACGCGAGGCGCGTGGGAGGCCGCGAGTGGAAGTGCGATTGTGCGCGGATCAGGCGCGTGAGAAACGAACCCCGACCTTGTGTTGGCGCGTGAGGGCGCGTGAGCAGGTATTTTGGCTCCCGGTTTGTCCCGTTCAACTCCTTTTGACCTGTCCTATCAAAATTGGTCTATACTTATGTTGAAATTGATAAAATATAAGTCTAATAGGAAAGAATTGTGTGAAATACTATTAAACGTACATTCAAGGGGGAAAAGGAGTTCGAAACCAAGTAAGTAGCGTATCGATCTATGAACTAGTTCTTAACTTGTTTTACAACATGTGAGTGTGTTGTTTACCTGATTAAGAGCTTAGTATGTTATGATGAGCTTTGATGATATTGAGTGTTTATTGTATTTTGTGACTGCTTGCCTGTGATGTAAGCATGATATAAATGATTGTCAGAATGTTCTATGGGTTGAACATGATACATGTATGAAAGCTGTGAGTATGTTATGCATGTTAATGGAAATGTTATGACTCTAGATATGCTTATTGGTTGTTGAGCTATGGCTTATTTATATGAGTATGATAGTCTACTAATTCCCGCGTAGTTCCTAGCCAACGCGCTGTGTGCTAAGTCAGGGAGCATGAGTACTCCTGACCGTTGGTATATGAGATAAACAGGCCGCCAGAGCTATTAGTAGACGGGCCGTATTTGACCGAGAGCGAGTCTTACATACGAGTCCGAAAATTCTAGATAAGCATATCGAAAGAGAGTCAGTAACCTAGCTGGAGGTAGCTGAGATACCTCATTAACGAACAGATGACCCTAGTAAGAGAACTAGGAGTCAATGATAAATAAAACTTAAAAACACCTGGAAAGATTAGTTATGAACTCTTGAATGATAAGCTAGCTACTTATTGAGTAATCTAATTACTCATCAAAATTATTATAACTTTTCTTTCCAGATTTAGATGATGCAGGCCAACCGAGGACGAGACAGCGGGCTAGAGACTACTGGGAATCCATGTCTGGGTCTGTTTATGTAATTATGTTTTCATTGTCAAGAATTTACTTTGGTTGTTTTAAGTTTTAATTTATGTAATTATGTTTTCGTTGTCAAGAATTTACTTTGGTTGTTTTAAGTTTTAAAAGTACTGTTTTTTTAAAAATATTTTACTTGATGTTTTTAGAAATATTTTGAGTTTTATGATTGGATATCAGAGTTTGTTATTATTGTCGATGGTAACTCCTGTTAATCGCGTTGACGATGAGCGGGTGTTACATAAACTTTTATGTGTTGATTATTTTTATGTAAATAATAGTAATATTCTCCAACTTAAATACGAATTTTAGGTCTGATATGATTGATGTTTTCGTTATAACCTTAAAATATGAATGATAATTTTGAGTAATTATGCGTACGTGTTAAAAATTACTCTCGCTTTCTAAAATCTTCTCTTAAAACCGAGGTCAGAGGCTTGAGCATACGTCGCTTGCCCGTAGGTGATGCAAGAACGAATTGGCTTAGCTCACTTGTCGTTGGAAAGTGAGTGCCGCACAATCGCAAGTCCGCTGCCATTAAAAGTGCGATTATGACAAGTGGTATATTTCGTACGATTATGGTTTTGATATAGAAACGAGAGATGAATCAATATTTTTATTGTATTAAAATATATATATATATATATATATATAAATTATTATTTATTTAAAAAATAAAAATATAATAGTCATTAAATAGTTTTTAAATTTAAAAGTAATAAAGTTATATTTTAATATTAGAAATGAGCGTTTTGGAAAAAATTAATAATAAAAACTCATTTTTTTAATTGTATTATGTCATTGATCAGAATAAATTATATATTAATATTTTTTGAATTCCGGCTTCCGATACGGACCATGCAAATGCAAACACGACACAAATATTTAATATTATTTTAAAATGTGTGCCAGCTGTCATTCATCTATGTGGCCACGTCGAGACCTACTTTAGTAATTGCACCCAAATTCGCGGACTCCAAAATATCAAACCCGCCTTTTCTTTTTCCGCTCCTTAAAATAAATTGCAAAAATCAATTTTTAAAAAAATAAAAAATAAATAAAAAGAGAAAACCCTAGAAGCTGAATCGAATTCGCCCCTGTACCAAAATTTTTCTTCACACCTCTAGGGAGAATCTGGCCGTCGATCTTTTCATCCAACGGTTCTCCTCAGTCGGCGACCGCTTTTTTCCCCTCCTTCCCGCCCCCATTTCCCCAGTGGTTTTTATCATAAACCCTAGCCGTCGTCTCTCTCTCTCTCTCTCTGTCAGTTTGTAAGAGACGCTCTCACTCTCACCGATTCTCCGTCATTTTTTCGGATCTAATCTTTCGAGTTCTTTTTTCGGTTCTCCGTCTTTGTTTTTGTCGACGTTTTTTTCGGGGTTTTTTATAGCCTCTGTAAATGGATCTTTGAGTTTTTTTGTTGGTTTTTTAGGTTTGAATCTAGATTATTGTAGAGATACTGTGGTGAAGATTTTTGTTTTGTTTTTTTTTTTCTTTTTTTTTTTTGTAATTTCATGTTGGTGCTGTATGTCTCTCTGCTTGTTCCGATGTTTGATTTTAAATTTTTCATCGCTTCGAAATCTTTGGCGCCAAGTCTTGTTTTCGTGTTAGATTGAATTTCAAAATTCGTGTTAGATTGAATTTCAAAATTCTGGATCATCGTGTATACATACACTGGTTTAAGCGAGTAGGTGGTTGTTAATCACTGGCGGGGCTTTACTTCCACGGCCGCCGGTTTCGATGCCGGTCAGAGTTTGGTGACTGAGTCGATTCTAAGATACAGAATTTGATTGGTGGGTGGTGTTAATTCTCTATAACCGTACGGCAATGCCGTCTGGGATGAGAAGGACGAGAGTTTTTGGATTGGTTAAGGGTCTTGATGGAGCTAGAGTTCTAAGGTCTGGTAGACGGCTCTGGCCTGAATCGGGTGAGGTGAAGCTTAAGAAATCTAAGGACGCCAGTGACTGGTACCCTGTTATCGACAGTAGAGGAAATGGGGGTGGAAGTGGTCAGGTTAGGCTCCATGGGAAGTGGACCCAAGTTCGAAATGTCAAGCCAAAGAGGGTCGTCGTTGTTAACATTCGTGAGGAGGAGGATGCTTGTGTAGCGAAAGTCCCTGAACCACTGAAGATTTTGCCTAGAATTGGTAGCGATGGCGAGTCTGGTGATGTGGATAGAATGTTTGGGAAGGTTTATAGCAGGAAGAGGAAGCGGGGTCGTCGCGAAAATGGCTATGGTTTTGATGAAATGGAGGGTGATAATGCTATATCAGGGGATAGGATGTTTGGACTCCGCTTCATTCGAAGACAGAGATCTAGGAAGACTGACATTGCACATTGGGAGCCTACTGCAAGTGGACGTTCTACTAAGCTGCATTTCCATAGGCCGAGTGTTTCACCACCACTGCCCCACGATCGGGTTCTTACTATTTTCGCTGGGAGTAGTATCAATAATGGCTGTTTTTCCGATTTTATACAATCGGTTCTTAGACACTTGAACAGTCCTGAGCTGAATGTGGCTAAGTTAGCTTCATTTTTGTTATCCAATACGATCAATGGAGTATTTGCTTCGACGGGGATGCATTTCTTGCAGGTATTTTTACCTTCTTAATGTAGTTGTGCGTTTAGATACACTTGTTTTCTAGGCTGATAATTGGATTCTGTGTTGAAAATTTGTGAAATGGGCTTTAGAGATTTCATTCCCTTGTTTCTTGATCAAAGTAAATACTGTTAAGTTAGGCATTTCATTGATTTGATCTTGACCTGTCTTTCAGGGTTATCCTCCTACTGGAAGTTCTGGAATGTGTGTGATTTTTGGGAGCAGGCAGTGTATTCCAATGTTTCATTTGGATTTTTCTGCTGTTCCTTCCCCTTTTATGTACTTACATTCCGAGATGTTTCTTAGACAGACTTGGATTCAAGCTCGTCTTGTATATAATAACGAACAGTTAGATGTAGATATGAGTAGTGATAGTGAAGAAGACAGCATGGTGGAAGAGCAACATGTTTCCAATCCTCCTGTAAGTTCTTTGGATTGCAAAACCGTGGCCTTTGGAGTCGATCATACCAATCCTCGATCTAATTCACAGTTGTCTGTTAGAGCTTCGAGGTTAGGTAGTCGGGCCTTGCAATATAGAAATGGTTTCAGCTCTCGTGGTATACGGAAAAGGAGAAGTTCACTGAGAATGAGGAGACCTAGAAGCCATTCTCTTGCTGCTATGCAAAAAACTGTTGGCATTTTCGGGATTGATGATATGAAACGCAGTGTATCTTTTCCTTCTGTAGCATCTTGTAACAGGCACAAGAACTCCGCCCTTAGAGATTCTTCTGGGCATGTGAGTTCGACTGCATTGGGATCGGCAATGGATGTTGATTCATCATGCTGCAATGCCAATATATTAATTGTAGAAGCTGATAGATGTATGAGAGAAGAGGGAGCTAACATTGTGTTGGAGTTCTCTGCCTCGTGTGAATGGCTTCTAGCGGTCAAGAAAAATGGTTCGACTCGATACACCCACAAAGCAGAAACGGTTATGAAGCCCGCTTATTGCAATCGTTTTACACATGCGATATTGTGGTCAGCTGATAATGGTTGGAAGCTGGAGTTTCCGAATCGCAGGGATTGGTTAATTTTCAAGGATCTATACAAGGAGTGTTCTGATCGCAATATACCGTGTTTTACTGCTAAAGCCATTCCTGTGCCTAGAGTGTCTGAAGTTCCAGATTACGTCGATAGTAGCTGTACTTATTTTAAAAGGCCAGATACATACATCTCCGTAAACAACGATGAGGTATGTAGAACGAGGGCGAAGAGTACAGCCAACTACGACATGGACTCTGAGGATGAGGAATGGTTAAGCAAGTTCAACGATGAGCTTATTGCAACAGACAAGCAACATGAATGTCTTTCGGGGGATAGTTTTGAGCTGATGATCGATGCTTTTGAGAAGGAATTATTCTGTAATCCCGATGCCTTCTCTGATGAGAAAGCACCTACTGATATGTTCATGCTTCTCGGTAGCCGATCGACAGTCGAGTCACTGTTTACTTACTGGACGAGAAAACGAAGACAAAGAAAATCATGTCTGATACGAGTTTTCCAGGTACTTTTTTTGCTATTCGTGTTCGGTGTGCGTTTGTTTTTAAGACCATATGTGAATAATTATTTGGATGATCTTCCAGGCACATCAATCAAAGAGGAAACCTCCTGTGGTACCGAAACCGATCATGCGAAGAAAACGATCAATCAAAAGACAGCCGAGCCAATCTGGGAGTGGGAGAGCTACCCAATCAAGTATTTTGAAAGGTAGAATTCCTGGGCAGCCTTGATGATTATTGGCTCTGTTTGTTTACCATTTGTGCTTGTTTTCTTTATGCATAGCGTTTATCGTCTTGACGTCGAGTTGATGACGGACGGTCTTTGTGCAGCCATAGTTTCGAGACGAGATGCTGTGGAGGAACAGAATGCTGTGCAAAAGTATGAAGAAGCCAAGGCAGCAGCAGAGAGATGCATGGAGAGCGCTGTTAGTAAGCGGCAAAGGGCACAGTTGCTGTTGGAGAATGCAGATTTGGCAGCTTACAAAGCCGTAGTAGCACTCAGAATTGCCGAAGCAATTCAAGCATCAGAATTGCCTGAAGCTGCCGCCGCCGCCGCCGCCGCAGCTTGTTTTCTGGAATAAGATTTTGTTTCCTTTGGGAATATCCCAATTGGTTTAATTATTATTATTGTATAGTATTTCATTAATATGTACATTCTATTTTGTATTATGATTACAAGAATCTCTCAGCACCCACCCATTATGTACAACAACAATGAGATGTCCTGATTTTTCCCAGGTCCTAAATATACCAACTTATCTTCTATGTTCTATGTTCTATGTTGTAATACTCTCCCATTTTGATTGTGGGTATGGGTCATACCCAACAAATTCGTGGGTGATTCGGTGATTGTCCTCACAAGACACAACGATCCTCAAGAACACGAACGGCAAGGCTGACAAATGAATGATGATCCTTCGGGTTGCTGAGGTGGGAAAGCTTCAAACCGAGCTTGATTCTCTTATCAAACGACTAAAAGCAATAGGATGTTCTAACAGGTCTTTCTTCTTTCCCAAAATCGGTTGTTTGCTGGGGCGGTCGCAAGATGTGGCTTTTTCCTTCCCTGCTATCTGTTCGGGGTTGTCTCTCCTTCCTCTTCCTTCCTTTTGTTAAGCAGGTCCCACTCTGTCCAAAGCTTCCAGAAAAGAATAGCATTCAAGGACCAATGGCAAAGATCGAATGAGGGAAGGACACTCCTGAAGGGTAGTCTGGTAAGGATACCAGAAAAACTAATATTGTTCTCCATGGTCTATCCGTCTGCAACGGCTTGATTACCACTTTTTGACAAATGCTAATTATAAATGTCCTAAAAGGGAGCATTTTACAACTCCACAAATTCCTTTCTGAGCTGCTCTTTCATACTCAACTTCCTTGCAATGAACTCAACGCCATCCAAATGCTCTGCAATTCCCAGGTATATTTCCTCCATTTTGTTTCCCACCATTATCACTCCCCCACACGGGATAAAACATAGACCGAGTCACGGTTGATATTTTTCGACATTGTTCGACATTGTGTTTGAGAAATGTTGTGAGGAGCACCGTAAAATGGTTTCACTCATAGATGGATTTTTCGACATCGTATTTTCTCCTTCCAATATCACAATATTCCCCTGGAAAACAACATTGGGACTTGGATTTCGAATCATTACCTTCGCCATTTTTGCACTTTGCCAGCCAGCTCAAAACTCACTCTTCCACCTCTCCTTTCAGAAAAGAATTGTCGAATCTTTCTGCATCCGTCAACCAGAAACGGTGGGCAGGAACTTCAACACCATTACACTTCCATCTGCAGGACACCCTCAAATTCATCTTCACTCTTCCCCTCAGCAGATTTTTACCTGTCATTCAACAGCACGTTAATGCTTTCAGACCTTTGCATAACAAAATATATTTTTTTTCTCAAGTCCAATAAGTTGTGTGGGGATTGGAACCACGGATTTCTTAATCGAGGGCCAACGCCTTAACCGAATAACAAAATAACTTACATACCATAATGCCAATTCAAAATCTGCAGGCGCAACCTAAAGACTTTACTTTCAAGTGAGAACATTAGACATGCTTTCACATAGATTTACCTTAAATGGGAACATTAGATATGCTCTGAGATAGAAGTAAACTTTAAACAACATTAGTCGGATCTATGGACCTAATTGTCTCCCTTTTTTTTTTCTTATTTGAGGAAGATTCAGTCAAATATTAATCAACACTATAATTTTGAAGTATAAAATGTCACTTACTTCTTAAGAAAGACTCGAGAGCTTCAATCGTTACAACTCTCCGCTTATCGGGATTGCTGTGTGACAGAAAAATGTTGCAGACGATAATAACAGGAGGCCAGATGATAAGATCCTCCTTGTGAACCACTGCTTCTTCCTTTGGCAAGATCTCAGGAACCCATATTACAGTGTCCTGACGAAGAGCTCTCACTTCCTTGGTAGAATATCCAATATTCCTTAAATTAAACCTCCAGCTTTCTTCAAATTCAAGTGAACATGAGACTTGAGGTTTATCCTAAACTACATGGTTTCAAAAGTTGAGTCTTTCATTGAATTCGCACATCAAAACCCTGGGAAAATGGTAAGAAGTCTGTATAAATTGATGTACGACCGATATCCATTGCGGTGCCCTTTTTCAAAGCCAAAGGTTTCTGATCCGTCATCCTTTGTCCACATTTGAACATCTCCCTTCAATAATTTCTCTTTCTTTCCTAATTCTCAAATCATCATGCCTATACCGAACGAGATGCTTATAATCATCATGCCTATACCGAACGACATGCTTATAATCACAACTTTGTTGACAGCAGAAAATTCCCTTGGCTGTGATCATTGTGCAGGAACACTTCCTCGTAGTTGGGCATTTTCCTCGCTTGACCATAAGAATGTGAACTTGACCCAATGACATCGTTCCTGCCAGTTCTCAGATGCCAATGCTCGTCCCTCCTTTCAGTGGTATCAACCCTATGAACCAAATCCTACTTCGCGTCCGGAGCCATCAATTCCGTGAGGGCTCAAACTTCTCCTAAGACACGGAGATCGATCCAGTGTCTCCCGTCGGGACTTACCATATCAATCACGATCCAGATGAAGCCGATCCTGAGCATGTAGTTCCATCTTTTCCGACTCTCTGACATCGTAATCTTCACACCTTCGACATTGCGTCTTTAAGTAATTAGCAGAATTACTCCTGAATAGCTAATAAAGCCCTGAATAAAACCCTAGAATCGTTGAAATCGATCGATTCGCACCAAACAGTCGCAACAAACAAACAGAAACATTCGATTCCCATGACCTAACCCACCCAATCGAAATATCGAACAGGAGAATGGAACAATAATCGCAATAAAATCTCAACAAAAACCTGATAAAGGAATTATCAAAATGGGAAAATTTTCAAACCTTCGGAGGTAGATTTCGTGAATCCATTGATCTTGTTTGCAATACTCCTTCGCTTATGCTTCCATTGTGGAAATCACAAATCACAAGCAAACAATTTCTTGGCGACCGAGATTTCCTTTCACCTAATACGATCGAGAGTTTGGGAGAACGGCATTGGTTCCGATTAGGCCGAAATCTAACTAGCGCGAACGACCAAAAACCGATTATTTATAGCAAAATTTGTTAATACCAGGTTTATATTAAATAAATAAATAAAGCTTTTAAAAATACTCTCTTTTTTTTTTAATTTAAATTTATTAACTCGCATTTATTTCGTCCTAAAGCTTCAAAAAATAACATTTTAAGATATATTAATTTAATTTAAAAATAAACTCTTCCTTCTCATACTTACCCTAATCTTCTCATACGCTATTAAAAGTCTAGTTCAGAGGGTTAAAATATTCCGACACTACGGTGAGATCTTACATCAGTTGGAGAGGGGAACGAAACACTTTATAAGGTGTCGAAACCTCTTCCTAGTAGACACGCTTTAAAACCGTGAGGGGAGCGACGATACTTAACGGGCTAAAGTGGACAATATCTAACAAAAATCTAGCAGTGTGTCAGCGAGGACGCTCTTGCTGGACTGAAGCATTTCTTATACGGATATGAAAACCTCTCTCTAGTAGACGCGTTTTAAAATCGACGTAATGGGTCAAAGTAAACAATATCTGTTAGCGGTGGGCTTAGACCGTTACAACCACTATCATTCTTGTATGTACGATAATCCTCTCATACGCTAACTAGCGAGCTTTAAAACTGTGATGCAAGCGACGATACTTAACAGGCTAAAGTGGACAATATCTAATAAGAACCTAGCGGTGTGTCAGCAAGGACGCCCTCATTGGACCGAAGCATTCCTTATATGGATATAAAAACCTATCTCTAGTAGACGCGTTTTAAAATCGATGTAACGTGCCCAAGTGGACAATATCTACTAGCGGTGGGCTTAGACTGTTACAACCACTATCATTCTTGTATGTACGATAATCTCTCACACACTAACCAGTGAGCTTGGAGACCTCAAGTCCAGCTCAAAGGGTGGGGATATCCCGACCGTGCTTCGTCATCCCCGTGATATTAGGAGCTACACTTCTTGCAACGCTTGATAATTTTTGTTAACTATATAATTATTTATACATATATTTATTTTATATATTATTTAATTTCATAATTCTTTATTCTCCTGTGCTCTTGAAAATAGCTTTTAATTATTTGGAATACAAAATTTTAAAATATTTTGGAATTCAATTCTTAATTAAATGTTTGAAAATAAATAAATAAATAAATATTTGATAAATTACTTGAACCCAACCTAACCCAAAATATTTATGGTCGGGTTGAGTTGGGTTCATTATTTAATAAACAATTAGGTTTGGTCTAAAAAATGTCCCAACCTGACTCAACACAACCCATAACACCTCTAATTTTAGACATAAACCAATCGCTCGAAGGCATAAATATATCATGGTTTAATTCGATAAATCTTACATAGATATACGAGGATCTGTTATTCTTTACATCTTTCTCGACAACGGGATAAGTTGGGCATCGGGAGGTTAGCATTGTGAGGAAATCAGAGCCATGACTTTATATTATAGGTAGCTCAAACAGGCTCGAGATTATTTTTTTTTTTCAAGAATAGACATTTTATACCATCATAAATTACAATTAAAACTTCACCCAAATTGGAACATTACTCCAAATTGAAAAATTAAGGTTTACAAAAAAGGGGAAAAAATGTTTGCAAATATACACACACATTATTTATTATATATATATATATATGTGGTTATATATTAGGGTTTTTATTGAGGACCAAATTGTTGCGTACAGCCGATGTGGGACAGAAACAACAGTACGGAAGACTCATAACAGCCTTGAATTCGTGTGTCGTTTGGTTTGGTTTTTCATTTTCATGGCCATCTCTCCCAATGGCCAATCCCCAATCAAAGAAGATACATGTCACTCACTCAATCTCTCTCTCTCTCTCTAGACCCACAAAAACAACAAAGAGGGAGAGAGAAAAAAGAAACCCTTAATTTATTTTTTTCGATTTCTCGTGTTCGATCTTCTGTTCAGTTTGTCGGTCGATAAGATCTTCGAGATTGATGAGCTTGTATATGTGTTCGGTAGATTGAGTCTCAGAGAGCCAAAATCTTACCCACAAAAACAACGAAGAAAAGAAAAAAAAAACTCCTTAATTTATTTTTCTCATCTTCTTCATGTTCGATCCTCTGTCCAGTTTGTCGGCCGATAAGATCTTTGAGATTGATGAACTTTTATTTGTGCTCGGTAGATTGAGTCTCAGAGAACCAAAATCTTGCCCACACAAACAACAAAGAGATAGGAAAAAAACCCTTAATTTATTTTTCTCGTCTTCCTCAGTTTCAATCCTCTGTCCAGTTTGTCGGCTAATAAGTTCTTCGAGGCTGACCAGTTTTTATATGCACTCGATGGATTGAATCTCATAGAGCCAAAATCTTGCCTACAACTCGAATCAAGCGACTTGAAAATTCACGAGTAACTAAAACAACTCCGGTTTGACTCGAACAACAAGGACAAACAAAACAATGAAAAAAAGACAACTCAGTTGAGATTTTAAAGTTTTCTCTCGAATTCATCAAAATCGTTGCTTCGATAACCCTAAAGATTCAAACTTTATCCTCTTTTAACAAATAATAAGTGACCCGCCATTTATGAAACCCGAAAACCGAGTTAGTTTGATTTTCTAACTCGAAAAACCCTAAAAAAATTTGGGTTTCGAGATCGAAATCTCGAGACCCATCAACACAAATCAAGAAAGAAAACCGCCATGGATGAAGATTAGAGGTGAAAAATGAAGAACATAACTAACCTTTATGAGTATTAGATTGTTGAGATCCCAAGATATATACATATACATATATATATATATATATATATATATATATAGCCATTGAAGCTATTGCTAATGCAGCATCATCAAGATTCTCAATCAAACAAGCTTCAAAAAAACATGAACTCTCAAGAATCATTGTGAATCTTGATGATGCCGCGCAAGCAAATTATGGCTGTGATTGAGTTGTTGATGAACATGAACAAGAACAGGAGAGAGAATAAGAACAAGAGAGAGAAAATTGAAAGAAAGGAGTGAGAATGAGTGGAAAGATGGAAGATTTAAGGTGGATATATACACACGAGGGCTGAAAGACAAGGAGCTTAAATGGAAATTAATATATATGAGCTGTTCCTTTCTCTTACAAGTCCAAGTCCTAGATTGCTTTCCACCTCCCTTTGCCACTTAGCTTAGGGGGCCACTTCCCCCTACTCTCCTCGATTCCCGACTCCGAGCATAGCTCAATCAGATCAACGACGCACTCTATGTCTTCGTAATAGTAAGATATTATTCACTTTCAGTGTAAGTTTTTGTGGGCTGTCGTTGGATTCTCGAGTACTGCTCCGTGCATAGCTTAATTAAACTATATGGTATTGTCTACTTTACAGTGTCATTTAGAAGCTCGATGGGTTTTGTTTTTTTACTTAAGTCGTGTTTGGAATGTAAATGGAATCTCGATTTTGAGCAATAAGTAAATTATGAAACGTCTACTTTTTGCATATCTTTGTGGGGTTTTGATATATATCTTAAGTTCTGACACGATCAGGATTCACGAGTCTTGTACCAACTTAAATAATGGTCTTGAACGCTCAAAATCTATCTGATATCAGGGATCGTAGATTTGCACTCTCAGTGTTCGTGAAGAAAATTGAGCACAAGAACCGAGTATCAAGTGAGTACGAGATTTAAATCTAAATTATGATTCCGAGTATAACTAGGTGATACGGTCCTAATTGCTATTTCAAAGTCGACGGCTCGATCTCCCACTTCACAATTATTAAATTGAAAAGATATTAATTTTCATCTTAAATATTGATATCTCGATTTCTCATCCACATTAACGAAAAAAAAAAACCCTAAATTACTTGATCATCCTTAACCTATGTTACGTGAATTAGCGTCTCTATAATTAATTAAATTTAAATTTGAGGGCAAAATGGTCCATTACTTAAACGATGTATTATGAATTTCAAAGGTTGTTAAGTTAATAAATAGAGAATTAATTAATTCCTTCAATGAATTCGGCTTGTTACATTTTTATTTATTAAATTAAGAAAATTATAAATATATGGTTATATTGTAATTAAGTTGTAAAGTGTGGGCATAGTATAACCCATAATTAAAAATATCCCAACGAATTATACTAATATATATATGTAAAGAGTTTATTATTTAATAAAAAAATATAAACTCGAACCATTTTTATTAAATAATGAATTATTTGTTCTCGTACATATTTAATTAAATTTATATTTTTTAAAAATGTTTATTTGGAGCAAGATTATATTAAATAAATATATAAAAAATAGAGATGGGTTAATTAATTAAAAAAAAAATTGAGTGGAAAATAGTATAATGATAAGGGTGAAGAAAAAATGAAGATTGTAAGCAGAAAAAGTAATTAATGAAATATTCCAAAACTGATGAGGCAATGTGATTGGTGCAGCCGTTGTGGGCCCCACTAATAATGGTTCATATTCTTCCCTCACTGTCTCTACAAAAATTAATTGTACTCTGTCACTTGGTCCTCCCATTTCACCATTTTATTTTTATTTATTAAATATTTCATTCATATATCTAAATTTTATAATATACTTTCTTTATATATATATATCGAGGGGAATCTGTCTGTCTCATTAATAAGGAAAGGAGTCTCCCTGATAGTTGCTTTCGGAATCAGGAGCTTAGAGTTATCAATTCTATCCTTTAATGGAAAACCAATTCGGGGAATTGACCTTGCGAGTACCCACTCAAATATAGGGAGGGCGCACTATCGCGAGAGAAAGAGCTCCTAACTACCTCGTTACCCCCAGCATACAATAGCTACGAGCTGCCGTAAGCGCTGTTGCACGAGTACACTAACAAGAGAGGAACTACGAGTAGTCTGATGGATCATTATTACCTTGATGATTTCGTAAACTTCACTTGACCTGGAACCACTAGAAGGAAGTGTCTTCGCTCGGATTCCTAGTTAGCCTGTTGTGCACTCCCTTCATTCTCCGAACCCTTGTTGATTCTGAACTTCATTGGGGGAGGAATCGGAGGTTTCAC